CAAAGTGAGTTACACATTTTTGCGGACGCGTCGGAGGTGGGATACGGGGTGGTGGCCTACGGTTGCTCGTCTCAACCAGGAGGAAGGAGGCACGGCAGTACATGTACGTCAATCAATTTGCACTTGAGTGACGCGTAGCCGAACAGATACGAATCCCGAATTAAAAACACAGTTGATCCGCAATGTTCTACGGTACTGAATTAACGAAATCATTACAAACGTACAATAAAGCAAACCTCAAATACGCGGCCAGAAGCACGCAAACAAGCGAGACAAATATAATTTACAGATAGAGCCGAACAGTCGCTCACGTTCTCTGACCACGTAAAATTCAAATGGGCCGGGCATTGAATGAACAGATAAATAATGATGTATGGTGTTTGTGATCGAGAAATGTCAATATAGAAACAACACACAAAGTTATTTCACCATAAATCATCATGGGTTCGGAAGGAGTTTCAAAAATGCAGCATGAAATACGGTACATGCTTTCACAAGTATTGCGACCTAATATCCCTTAAAAACATGCTTCTCGAGCTGTTTTCACTCAATTCACTCCATTCTCGTCCGTGGTACATACTAACAAGGTAGCTGTGTACACTTTCTGAACCCAATATTACCAGTACACGGATTCAGATTCAAAGCTGGATTCGTGGAACATATTTCAGTCTGGTACATACTAATGGAAGTATTGTGACCTAATATGCCGTGGTCAACATGTTACTCGAAACGTTTTTCACTCAAATTTCTCGGTCCTCCTCGGTGGCATATGCTAACCAGAGAGCTGTATCCACTTTCTCAACCAATTCTTAACAATACACGGAATCAGTTTCAAAGCCGGATCTGTGGAATTCAAAAGTCTGGTGCGCACTCACAAAAGCATTTTGTTGTCTTACCGCGCTGAAACTCCTCGATATGGTCTTACGTCTATATTCTCTTCGGTACCCTATCATTTTCTTGCAACATGCTAGGTGTGCACTTATTTTTAGTATTGTTCTGTCACATGCTCCGTTTCCCCCTCTCCATCCCCTTTTCAGCTGGGTACTACTCCAGACTGCTGCATATCGCCTCTTTGTTCCAGATTCTGTTGTCTTGGGCCTGCCGAAGGCTTGGGGTCCTCACCCACAATGGACAATTTGGCTCCGGCAATGGTTGTTGGGCACCGTTTGGACTACATGCATCCGCGTTCCAGACCAGGTTGAGGATTACACCCCCTGCCTCACCTACAGGGTGTTTTAAGGTTAGGTGTCTAGCGTGTAGTCAGTCCCACATCAAAGCGACCAACGCCTAATTAATCTAAATAAACAAACCACTCGTTGATTGGCTGAAGCTCCGAACCCAATGAACTTGTCTCCAAAAGCGAGTTGTATTGCAGCATAGAGTGAAACATGTTCCTTTACCGACGTATTATTCTGCCGTGTTCCTCACTTTCTATTACTGTCCTCATGCCTCTACCATCGGGCAGCATTTGTATTACAGACCTCCTCTTCGTATCTCCCACACTTTTGCCGGCCAATCCTTTCGAGACCGGCTTTACTATTACTTGCAGTTGTAATGACATATTTTTTAGATGCATCCTCCATCCTTCATAAATTCGTCTATGACCTTGTTTGGTTTGTGTTCCTTTCACTGTGTGTTTTCGTTCTGATCCCCACCATTTTTATTGTCTTCCTATGTACTTACACTGTTATTGTACATATACTCGCTCTGAACATTTGATCATGCCTTGAGCATGCCTCACGGGCTTCGTGAAATATACACCTTTTATTATTATTATTAATCTTCACGCAAAGGCCAGGGTTGCCCCTCCAAACTCAGTCTCAATACCCAGGCTATAATTGGCCGCAGCAGTATTAGCCGTGAGGATAGCGAAGGTGCTCAAAAGATGTTTCGACTCGATCGAATGGACCGCAACCTACTGGACCGATTCCGCTATAGTTCTTCACTATGTTAGCAATGTACGGACACGCTTCTGCACGTCTGTTGCCAACCGGTTGGCTGTCATTCACGAAGAAACGGAGGTGGGTCAATGGCGGCACATAAAATCCTGTGACAATCCAGCCCACTATTGCTCCAGGGGTGTGCTGAACTTGGAGAAAATAAAATCATGGTTACATAGACCGGCTTTCTTGACAGACCAGCCC